TTGCTTGCCATGGGCAGTTGCTTGTGCAGCACAAACGCCGGCTTTACTTTTATAAGAAGGCACATGGTTTACCATTCTTTTCCTCTTGAAGCTCTCCTCAGAAAGAATCATCAAAAAGTAAGGGGATTTATAAACCAGATTAGTACAACCCTGCTTGGTTCAGGAAATAAAAAACTAGAGTATCCCCAAAAGATTACTTTGTCCAGTCTCTTCTTGAAGATATCTAGTAAGGGAAAAAACCCCCCCCCCAACTGGTCCTATTGTTGAACTGCTCTTGCCATTAGGAAGTTTTTCCTAACATTCAATTGAAACCTGCCCTACTGAAACTTAAGTTCATTATATCTAGTGTTACACTGTAGAGACCCAGTAAACAAGTCTGTGCCCTCATGTCTGTGGCAGCACTTCAGAAATTAGAAGAAAGTGATTATGTCCCCACTTAGTCTTCCCATCTTCAAGCAAAATATACACAATTTCTTCATTGTTTCCTCATGTTTTCTGCCCTGCGCCCCCTTTTGGTTCCTTCCTTCTGAACTTGTTCCAGTTCATCTACATCTTTCTTAAAGTACTCCAGGTGAGGCCAGATTAGGGTACAGATTAGAGTAAGAAGAGCCATGCTGGATCAGATCAAAGGTCCATGAAGTCCATCGTTTTGTTCATACAGTGGCCAACCAGCTGCCTCTAGCAAACCCACAAGCAGACTGACCGCAACAGTACCCTCCCTCCCATGCTCTGCAGAATCTGATGGGAAAAGGCACACTGCCTCTGGCACCGGAGAGAGTAAATATCCATCACAATTACTGGAGTTAGACATAAGATCTGCCTACAAAGCTCTGCTCTCTGTGCCCCCCCCCCCCATCAGAGAGGAGATGGGTGGCAGCTAGAGACAGAGAGCCAGTTTGGTGTCGTGGTTAAAAGTGTGGACTCTAATCTGGGAGAACTGAGTTTGATTCCCCACCCCTGCCCATTTAAAAATTTTATTTATATTTATTAATTCCATTTATACCCCGCCCTCCCTGCGAACAGGCTCAGGGTGGCTTATATTAGTCGGTAACCGGTACCATAAAACCATATACAAAAGTTAAAACATTTTAAACATCTAGAACAATCAGATAATCCAAGTGCTAGTGATAGTAATCATCTTTCAGTAATTAAGATGGCATACTATATAGTATACAAGCAATTGTTTCCGAGTCAGCGATCTTTCGGCATCACTCAATGGTATTGCTCAATCTTCAGGCTGGGGCCAACCCATAACCATAGATGTTGGTGGTAGTGGTGTGGCGGTTCCTAATTGAAAGCCTGGTGGAAGAGCTCCATCTTGCAGGCCCTGTGGAACTGTAAAAGATCCCGCAGGGCCCTGATCTCTTCT